TAAGTACATTAATTTACTAAAAGAAACGTGACTATCATCGTCAATAAAATTACTATTCTAGTAAAAGTCATAACTAAAATAGCAATGCTATACGGATTTTATAAAAAGGTTACAATGCGCACTGAGAATTAATGATTCCGAATAGAATTACTAGGCTTAGGAAAGAGAGTCGAAGAATAATTAAAATTCCATGAACGTAATCACGACGTGCACGAGCTAGACTGATTTATCATCGCGAGAGTGTAAGGAAACTTTTCACTTTCTAAGTGAAATACCTGTGATCATGAGCAGTTTTACATCGTCGCAATAAACGTTAACGCGGCCTCGACCGTGAGAGCGGGGCAGTGTTTCGAAGGAATGCCGGTCGAGAGGCATGCCGGTGTCAAGGAAAAGAGGAGGAGGACATCGACTTAAGACGCGCGTCGCCGTATGCGCCTCATAAAACCCAGACGCGCCTAAATGCTACCCCCTCTTTACAGCACACCCCATCTGGACCACCCTCGCGCGACCCTCCACGATAAACGCATCTCATATAGCCCGTAGAGACCCCTCACGATGTTCTCGCCGGCTGATTCAACCTCGATCCTCCCGTTACCTCCGCATTTCGCCATCTCTTGCATTCTTCCGAGCAAAAGAGATCAGGGAGTCGGAATATATAGGCGGTTGCTCGTAAGGAATTGTAAGCCGGAAGAATCTCTCGCCCTTGCAACGCCATATGGTACTAACAGTTTACGAGCATCTCGATTCGTCCGTTAGTAGCGCTGATCGAATGGGAGTTATTTGACGTGTAAATAAAACGTGTCGTTCACATACAAACAACTAGCGGCAATGCTATTGATTGAATATTATTGTCAATTTTGAAAACAATTGATAATTGATAAATTTAATAATACTTTTATATTATGAGAGTATTATATTGGAAGTATCTGATCGTCGAATAATTTAAAAAACTGTGTAATAATTAAAATATTATATTTTTATAAAAGTAGTATACATTTTCTCTTCTCTTTCCATTTCATTTTCAATGATTGACTAATTTATGGAACGTAATAAAACAAAAGAAATAATTGCTTCTTAAAATACCTTTAATAACTGCGCTATAAAATGGAGCGATATTAAAGAAGAAGTATAAAACTGAGTCATATTATCTTGAAGTCATTATTACGAATAAACCAAAAGAATTGGTAAGTTTCAATAATAATGGAATTATAATGAACAATAATTATAGTAAAATGAGTGACTATTTAAAAATGCATTTATTAATCCATCGATTTAGTAAATTGTTCTATAATTTATTGAAGTTTCTAGAAAAAATACAATATCGCTAAAAATATTCTTTTTTACTTTGACTATATAAAATACTTAATATCTTTTAAATTTCATTTCTATTGATTTATATATTAAATGTATAATACTACATCGCGAGTTCCATTATCCTTCTAAGAAAGTACGACTTCTCTTGACAATGTAACAAATGCAAATACGATTTAGTTGTACACCACTCTATTTGCTTTTATGCGCTCATTCGTAAATTTGCAAGAATATTGTATACTCATAAAGTAAAAACTGATATAATTTTTAATTTCTTTACTGTTATTTCAGATTATTTTCAAATTCATAGTTAAATAAAAAAATACATACATAACTATCATAAATAGTTTAATTAACATAAAATAAATAATCGAGTTTAACTAGTAATTAAAAAAATTATTGTTTATTTATAAAAGTAATATAAATTATACATAAAAATAAGCAAATTAAACTAAATAATTAAATTTAATTAAAATAATATAATAAAAAATAGTATTCTGCTGTGAAAAAATACTAACTGTAAGTTTTTAAATTAGGTACAGCTTCTTTTTAAAAAAATTATTTAAAGAGATCTTTGTGTTAGAATATAATATTTTAAGTACGTATATAATTATATATAAAATTACAATAATTAGAAACAGTTTTTTTCCAATGTTTTTCTATTATCTACAGTAAAATTTGCTTTGACCATTATGGTTGAAAGTTAAAAAAAGAATGTTGATTAAAAATGCATTTCCCGTGAAAACAGTACATAAGAAAGAAATTCTCGCGAGATAAACCAAATTCTCTTTAGATTTAATTACTTCGCAATTTAACTCTTATTAAATTTCGTGAATCCTTTGTCAGTGTATCACAGATAATTCAAAATTCACAGTAAACAATGCTGTAGTCCAGCAATTAGTAAGTTCCCGCAGGGAGTTACCCTTAGTAAAAGTTAGTCCTTTGTGGTTCAAATATTACTACCTAAAAAGCTAGTTGATTAACTTTACATATATTTTACGCGTGATAAACGTTTTTATATGCGTTTAAAATATGATAAACGTTTTTATATGTATTTAAAATATGATAAAGCTATGTAAAAGGTTTTGGAAAGATTTTATTTGATGTTTTATTGTTACATTTTGATCAGTTTATCGTATCGATAACTTTACTATAATTTTACATCAACAATTTCAAAAGAAAAAGGTATATAGAAAAATTCATCAATGTTTTCTACGAATAAAAAGGCGTCTTCCTACACTATAATTTTTTTCGCCCAATTGTCAAAAATTTAAAAGTAAAATTATGATATTAAAAATATAGCTTTAAATCAAAATTTAACATTTTAAACATTAATAATTATTTTTTTCATTTATTAATAGGATTTCCTGAATACAGAAATTATAACAATAGTTAATACTACACACAGTAATTTCAAAATAATAAATCGCGAAATGTACAACTTTATATTTTTATTTTTACAAATTTACACCGTAGCATAAAAAATCCATTTCGCAAAAATTGAAATTTATTTTAAAAAGTACTAAACTGTATCATAATATACAATGCTTAAATAATCAAATGTTTAATTTATGAGAATATTTTGAAAAGCTAATTTGTTAAAGTATGGCGTTTCGATACAAAAGTATGTGCAGATATCAATATTCCCCAACAATCGTTTTAATCACTGAAAAAAATTATCATTTTAATTAACGTAACAAAAAGAGGTATCAGCTTGAAATGTGATTTATTCATTTCATAAAGAAGTATTTTAATTAGCAGTAGCCACGTGGTGGGTTTTACAATAAAAAGGTGTAATAATATATTATAACTTTTTTCAATATTACACGTGCATGATACGCCACATTTGTTCGCGATCAACTCCGCATGGTGAGGAAGACTAAAACTATTTTTGTGTCGATGGCGTTTTTCTCTCAGATATTTTCGCATCTTTGTACTAAGCTTGTGAAAGTTTGAACAGTTGTAGTACAATCCCTCATGTAATGTTTCAGAAAGATTTCTGAACCTCCCTCTTTTTTGTCTCCTTCTTCTTCCTTGTATGTTCTTGCAATATAGATTACCAAGAAACTAGCGCTATAAAAGTAGAGCAATATCGTTTCGTATATGTATAGACAACATTGATTTTTCGAAAATAATTTAATCGCCAATATTAACTGGCAAAATTGACTATTTTCTCTAAAGTTCCATGTAAACGATTAATAATTTCAAAAAAGATTACTTTGTAAAGATTACTTTTGAAAAGTAATTTATTGTACGTATAAAAATTAATAACGGAAAACCGCAAATTGTATCACAATTCAGACGAATACAGAAAATCAAATTATTGGATACTGATATAGAATAAAGAAAAAAAAATTGATTTATATGTCAATACGAAAAATAAGTTTGAGTAAATATTAATCAAAGTTTTAAGCAACAAAACCAGCCACAATTACTGCAACGACAATCGGTAGAACATTTCGTATGCGAAAACAATTCCTTTCGTCAAAAATCAGGTAACATTATCTCAAACAAATGATATGATCAGCTGAGAGAAATGGAATAAAATTAAGTTAGATTTAATATCGATCCACTGAGTTTGCAATTTAATCGCATATGTGACCGCGATTGATAGACCTGCAACTTGTGATATGCAGGAAAAAAAGAAGATATTTGTTTTCTCTTTCGACAGTCCAATATAAATGAAATCAGATACTTTCTGTCAATTTTAAAATTTCAGCGATGCAATGACATTTCCGTTTACTCCAGATAGAAGTTTAAATCCATCATTCCGTCGCAATGTGAAACAAACTAAAGCAAACCAACTGTAAACTATCCTTAGCGTCCAACAATATTGATGAACGAACTTAAATTGTTGCAAAGAAAAGTACGTTTTTCCTACTTTCTAAAACGTGTACATGTGCAATTAGTCATAACGTCACTGAGTTTAAATAAAATTCTGTCCCTACAATGTCATGAAACGTTGATGTCGAATTTCAACGTATCTTTAACTAGAAGTTAATTAAAATTTTAATTGTCGCAATATAGAAATTAATTTTAATCATTCTAGTAATTAATACGTATGGTATGTTATCAATTTGTCGTGTTAAATATATGTATATATATAATTTGTCACGTTATGTGGATAGTTATATATGCATATTTATATGTGCACATTATACATGCATGTTATTCATATATTGCATTTATCATGGCCAGTATGTGATAAAAGTAGATAAAATTTATATAAACTTATTTCGTGGAATAATAGCTCAAAGAATAAAAGTAATTCAAAAATACTTCCTGATAAGATCACTGCATCAATATATAAGCTTTACCATAATTTGCTTTTTGCGCATACTATAATATTTTAGAGAAAGAATAATGTTATACTAATGTAGTGCGACCGTGAACTGAAATTCCGGCAAATTCGAGGCGAAAATTGGTTCGAATATTCGAGTCTCCGTGACGCAACAGAGAAATGTGTGTGTTAGTTAATGAACCACGCGTTAAATTCGTGAATAAAAAGAGGGTTGACGTGGGTTTATCAATGTCCGTTGAAGAAATATGTGACGTTTGGTATTTTTGGATTTAACCGGCTTAACAAATCATTGTGCCATGTCAAGTGGCTGTGTACGCGGTTGATGACAGGAATAGATATCTACACCAAAAATACGTCATGCTTTTTCACGCAATCGGTTTGAACTTACACATATGCTCGCCGAGCGGCCAGATTTGCGGCCCTGAGTTGACTTCGATTAACACGGTAGGCGTACAGATCACTAGCACGCAGAGGTCGGCGACGCTCAGATTCACTAGGAAGATGTTTGTGCTGTTCCTCATGTCTTTTCCCCGCAACACAACTAACGGCACCTGAAGATATCATACGCGAAAGCTACAACAGCTGACTCTAAAGATTGATACATCGATAGCGATAATACGGATTGCAAATAAAAAAAAAACGGTGATTGATTTATACTCTTGAGATATTTCATTGATTGTAAGTGCAATTACAACTAATTAATAAATTAAAATAAAATAATATTAGTAAACTCCAAAAATATATCTAATACAAGTAAAATGCCTATGTAAGCCTTCGATCCTTACAGAAATCTAATACTGACCAATACTGAAAGACAGTAATTATTCTAAGTATCAAAAGCACTGTTGTTCAGTACATTTGCATCTCAAAATAAGTAATCAAATTACTATCATTCGATAATAAATTTGTCAGTATTAAATTTTTGTAAGTAGAGGATGTTAAAAATATTCACATTGTGATAAATGTAACTTGCAATCAATTTTTTTGAGATGTATTTACCAAATAAATAAGTTAAAGTAAACGCAAACGTTTCGTTTCGAGTCACTCACAGGTATTTTACTTATATTAGATTTATTCCACTAATATTATGATACTATTTTATTTTATTTTAGTTTATTAATATCAAGTTTAAATACTAATTATATGTAGTTTGTACTTGACTTTTACACTGGAAAGAACTCAAATTCAGAGTTGCTTGCTGAATTTACTTTAATTTTATTAAATACACACACGTGTCCCAATTGGTTGCGAATTATATCTATCGCAATATGAATATTTAATCAGGAGACACGGTAGTGTTTACTCTACACCATATCCGCGGATTCTCAATAACATACCTATAGATATGTAATTTGAATTTGACATTAATAAAATGTAAATTACCATTAGATTGCCTACTATGCCCAGAATCATCACAATAATACAAGCGACCATCGAAGTCGTTCGAATGTAGGCAGGCAGCATGTACAGCGCGGAAGTAGCATTCTCCGACTCGATCACTGGAATGCAGTTACAAGATACTTAAGATACATTTCTTCTAGATACATTTCACGATAAGCGTCCCGAGAGTTTTTAATTAATGTATCGTTTTACAACTAATACGTTACAGTTTTGAGAGTACCTGAGAATCCGTCGAGCGCGCTGTTGCCGATCGCTGTCGTGTAATAAGACGAATTCAATTCGAACGCGACGGTAGACATTGTTGTCAGCATCTTTTCAAGTGCGGGATTAAAATGCACCTTCCTTTTGTTCTTCCGTTGTTTTTCCACTGTTTCTTTTTTTTCGTTTTTAGACTATTTCATATTCTTTCACGATTACGTATCCTCGTGACATGATACGTTCACGCTATCACGTATTTTCACTTAGGTGGAGGGAGGTATCAGGTAGCTTGTCGCTTAAGTTATATATTTACAAGTTTTACGTACAAGCACCGTTACGTCGGTTTCTCTTGCATTTTTCGAAGGAGGAATTTTTACTTTATGTCGGCAGCACTTTCCGTCGTGCCGCTACGATTTTCAACGTCGGAGTTTCTTGCGTTTTGATGATGGATTGTTGTGTGTCGGGTTGCAGTCCGAGAAAATCCATTAGGAATCGCAGGTGCGCAATGGCACCACGGTGTTTCGCGACGCGAATTCGGCTTACCGTGTTTGCCTGCTTTAAGATAGCCACCACTTTCGCTGATTCGAAAACGTTAAGTGACATCATCAGGTCTCTGATCGCGATACACCATTAATTAACTCGATTTGGCGTGGGAAGCTCTCAACAAGATCGCGAGAATTTGATCATTACTCAAAATATACTAATTAACTTCTTCACTTAAACAGAGACTCCCTTTAATGCTTCGATCGGATAAGTCAGACGGTGAAAATGTTAATTTGCAGAAAGCTTCGGACGAATGTTTATCTTCTATAACTTTGACGAGAATTCGCTACTCGAGGAAGCGTATTCCACGTCTGATTAACATTATTAACTTTCTTACACTTTAGATGTCGCTTTAGATGATACTTAGTTTTAATTTTTAGTGACTTTAACAGAATTTGTATTTTGCTAAATGTATAGTCTTATTTATCAAATAAAACGACGCACAGTGCGGCCGCATTGGACAAAATTCGAAAAAATCATGATCGGTATTGGTCATATTAATGAAGCTATATAATTTAACGACCATTAACTATATTTTGATTAAAACTAATTGATTTTTGTTCGTAGCATCTCATAATGACTTAAACTCCCATAAAATGTTGTATATAAATAAATTCGAAATTTTTAATTTAAATATATATTATAGAGAACACAACACAACACAACACATTCATAAAAGTATATATGTTTTATTTCGAGTTAATGGTTTGTTAATATGTACTCATACTTATATTTATTTCGTTTTTTAAAATGACAGTGAAAAATTAGCAGTGTTATTTACTTTTATCAACTTTTAATGCACTTTTAATTAGGTTAGACACAAAATATCCTGTACTTTTGATTTTCTGAGATGCTCTGGTTATAATATTTTTAGAATCTGAAAAGTTTACCTGCTACAAACTGCTACACTAATTTCTAAGATTTTTTCTTTAGCGTGTGACTACAAATAGGGACCTCATTACAACGCTTTTACTTTCCTCAAATCCTCTAATTTCAAGCCATAGAAAAAGCACTTCAAAGATATATAGTAGAGATATTTCTGATATTCAGGATTATTTGTTGAATATAGATTAACCAAGAGGCATATCAAGCGAAATAGACATACTACATAACTTGCAATTAAGCGATACGGAAACAGAAGACTGTGAATAAAATATTTTCATCAGTGAAATTAAAATTTTTTTCTAAAAAAAAATACACTATAAGAAACACACTTAAATACATTTATTTTGCTATTTAGGTATGAATTTCTATTTTTGTCCCTAAAAAGCGCATTTGGCCGCGCTATGCGACGTGTATTAAATATATTTTTACTCTAGAACTGTTTTACCGAACGTAATTTAATAAAACAATATATTAAACTATTTAATATGGTAAACTAATATGAAATTTACTTCTTCTTTTCTCATTATCTTGATACGTGATTGATCTATCTTGACGTGATTCTATTTCCGCGCAATTTCTCATGATAAATTACCTATCAATTGACGAGTTGGGAATAAGAATGCGTCTACAGCAATATCTGTAGCGTCTCTCGAGTTCGCCAGAAGAATCATCAAGAATTTAAAGTGCTCGAAATATTTACCATCCGATCTCAAATAGAATGCTTCACGTGTTTCAATATCAGTACTACAATCGCGCAAGCATTTCGTGTATCCCATATTCGAAACCTATGATTGATCAACACACGCGATTAAATTTCTGCATTTCACGAGCAATTGCTCTCATTGATAAAATACGTTCCATGTCATTTAGCAAAAATTCTGACAGATACAGCAATTCCAATATCAAAGAACAGGTTGCGCAAGTCGACATTGTTTGTAATTAGTGAGAAAACCAGTTCAACAATCTCTCAAAAGAGACCAGCTTAATAAACTATCGACGAACTACAGTAGGACTTTAATCAATCATTTCCTTAATTGCTTTTCTATCAAAAATAAAACTTTCTAGTCATGATTAACTCAATTCTAATTAGTTGCCGATTCAATATGTTTGGAGTCACCGATAATATATTATCGATTTATTAATTTTTAGTAATTCAGTCAGTCACGCGTACTTGCTATCACATTTCCTAAAGTTAAATACAACTTTATAGGCTTTAACTCTTACTTGTTGTGTATTAAATACGGTTTATTTCGTTTTAATTAGCCGCGTGGACAATTTGTATATTACGCATCGAAATATCACTCACAATTTTGCCGCAAATAAATCTACGAGGATGCACTCAGATTAGTATATCCGCGTTATCGAATTTCACGCGACGCAACGTTTCGATTATAATTCTCGTCGGGTTGCCTTCACAGGTGGTTCGAAGCATGTTCCTTGCTTATGCACAAACCCGTGACTTCCGTTTTAACGCGCATCGACAACTGACTGAAATTTCGACGGTATTGCAGCCACGTGATGCGTTTCCTGTCATCATCGGTCCGTCAGGCTACACGTGCCAGAAGGAACCCGAACCGTGCAAATAGTGCCGGTAAACTGAATGGAACACGGAACTCAACCAGCCACAAACTCTCGAATGCGCCTCCCTTTCGTCGAGAGCATGCGCGCTCTTTCCTTCTTTATAGTATTATTTTACATCATAATTATATACACGTGCGAGTCTACGATAATTAATAAATTAACATCATCTCTTCTTCTAAATATCATAAAATACATAACTAGGTAGAACTTAATTTAATCGTATTTAATAACATTCATATTAATGTTCTAACAATTTTCCTACATAAATTTTCAAATTAAAATAATTGCGTGCCATTTTATTATGAAGCTTATCTTGCACTTTATTATAATACAATTTTAACAGAAATAATTTCAGTCTAAAAATTGATTTTCAATGTAATCTATCTAAAATTTAAAAAGTAATAATTAATTAAATAAATCTATTTAAATTAATTACCTAATAGATTACATTTATTAATTCTAATTTTTAATATAGATTTTTTTAACAAATTTAACGAATTAATTCAACTTCATTCAATTTTTAGACATCAATAAATCAAAACAACTGTTTTAAGTGTTGATATTTTAAATATATTATTTTATTATTTATTTATTGTAATTGTTCATTATAAATTTGTTTAATTTCGTACTTCGTAATCTTCGTATTTTTACACGAGGAAAGAGGACTTAAAAATTAAAAATTTTGTAATTTTTCTTCAAGAGTGACAGAATTTTCACTTTTTAAAGTAAGACTCCATTCTAAAAAATTTAACGAGATAGTCACTATTATTTCTGTTCCTTTTTTCGTGCCGATTTCTCATATTATACCTTTTACGATATAGGTTAATAACGGTTATACTAAAGTATGAAAGAAGCGGCAATAAACACGATTCCGTATTAGGAGACCAAGCGCATTCCATTAAATCTCTCGCTGTCAATCCTCTCTGTGCGCATTGTAGTCGATTTGGGACATTCTCATGCGCCTCGCTTTGAAGCAAAGCGCGATGAAGCGACGGAACACATTAATGAAGGCGATTTATTTTATGCCGAATAAATTGTCGGTACACACATTGCAACTGTTATATTTTTTAATTTCTTTTCAGAAATGATACAGTCAAACAATTGCAATCTACGATACGACAACACATTAATGTTATTAGATTTATATTTATTATATAAAGTATATAAAAGCTAAAACACATTTTCAAAAATAAATTTATATATACAGCTTTTAATTAATAAAAAATGGACTTTACATTACTAAAATTAAAAAATACGACATAAGATAAGAAATCATGAAAAAAATTAAAACATTTTATAATTGATTAAAAGAAATTGTAATAACTCTTTGGAATATTTCCTATGTGCGCAATTTAACAGAAATACTAAATATATATTATAAAATATGAAATAATAATAATAATAATTAATAAAACAATTTTAATTTTTGAAATTCCAATACATTTCTATTATAATAATAGAATTATTATTTTTGCAATAAAAAATTAAATATTATTAAAAGCCAACTATACTTTCTTGTTCATATATTTTGAAACGTTTTAAATTAAAAGCGTCATCAAATTGTAATCTTTATTGCTTTGGTAATTAAGTATCTTCGTCACAAAGTAAGTGTATAAAAATAGATCTTTGATCTTTGTAATATCAATTAATGAAGCTTACACTATTAATGTATATATATATATTATGTATAGGTATACTATATACTATATATCCTTGTTAGGAAACTTTGAGCTAAAAATAACTTTCAGTTGCAATGCGGATCATAATAATTGCACAAATTGGCTCGATACTAACTATGCACAGTAAGTTTATCTGAGTAAATTGATTAAATCAGATATCTTGTTAACAGTTTGTATTTACGTACATCAACGCCACACGAAATGTGCTTGTACAAATAGAAATCTAGCTTTTTTGAATAGACGTACGTATGAATTAATATCGTCAAAACTCATGCAGATAACTAACGACAACATTTCAGTGATGCATACGGATTTAAATCGATCGTTGGAAGAGCATTCTACATTGTTAATGTAGCAGTAACATACTACAATGTTGCTGTTGCAATATTAATGTAAAACGGATGTTTCCTCTCATTCCAGAATTT